TACTACTGTTGAGGGAGGAAATCTTGCACCACTTAGAGCCCCTAAACTACTGTAGTTCCTAGGACTCTGGGGACTTAAGGCGGTGTAGGACTTCATCCATCAGCAGTACTAGTACTACTACTACTACTACTTCTACTACGACTACTACTACTACTACTACTACTAACAATGATAATAATATTGATAATACACGAAAGGCACTACCCTGATGCGCCAACCAAGGCTTTGATGCAGGTATGACCTTGGGATAGAAATAGCTTAGGGGTTTAGGGTTCAGGGGGGGTACCCTTGAGGGAGGCTACCAAAATCCGAGAATGCTCCAACCCTAAGCGATCATAACCTTGAAACTCCTCCAGGAAGCTCTACAGTGAGTTTCATGCGAGCTCGGAAGAGCGCGGCTCACCAACAAGATCTTGGGGACATAATTGGGGTCATATAGGGATTAATGGAAAAGAAAAAAGAAACTACTAGATTATTACAGGGTTCTGAAAAGGTTATGTACAATCTCAGAGCATAAGCTTTTGCCAGTGAACTTGCCCTTAGGACCCAACAGCTGACCCAACAGCTGTACTTGAGTCTTATTACACATAATTACCTAGGTTCTGGATACTTGCACCCTAAACCCTGAAGCCATTTTCGTAGTTTCCGTTGTCATTTCCATTTTCCCTATATAACCGTAAGCCCTGAGGGCTTGTCAAATCCCGACAACATGGAATGTCCTTCATATGACGACGTGTGAAGGTGTCCAAATCGCTGTACTGCAGCACATCCAGCGTATTGTCGCGAAATCTTGACGTGACCTGCAAATACTGACCTGACGGTTTGGCCGGGAAAGGGTGGGTGTTGGATGCTTGTGCTGCACAATCTCGACCCCACGCTACAAATGGTAGTTTCCAAAAATAAGGGCACCCCAAAAAAGTCCCCCAAATACTATAGTCCTTTATTATTGGGACCCCCAAAATGGTACCCCTAATTTTGGGAAACCCCCAAATAGACAATTATGTGGGTTTTGTTCTGGACCCATTTTTTGCGCAAATGGCTGTCGAGTTGCAAAAGTGCGGGTGTCAACGGAATTACCGAATACTTCTGTACCAAGATTTGCTGAACAACTTGAGCGTCTGCACTTCACTCCGTACCGTACTCTTCCTGGCAAGAAGCTCCCAACAGGTTATTATACCCTCCGTGGAATTTCGTAGAGAAAAAGAGAACTAATTACTACTATCTTACAACTATTACTAGACTATTACTACCAGTATTCCTACTATTACCACTACTATATTACTCCTGCCACTACTATCTATTCTTACGAGTATTACTACCATATTACGACTATTACTACTGTTCTTCTTACTATTATTACTACTACAGGGCTCCCGAGGATGGGATACAATGCCCAGAAAAAACAAACAAAACGCATGTCCCTTGGCTTCTATAGGGTTACATAGGGGGTTCTATATGGCTAAGGGTTCAGGGTTTAGGGTGTAGGGTCATGACATAATCTCGCCTACCGGGAACCTAGGAAAGGTATAATGCAAACCCGTGATTAATAAACCCCCTCCCCTTCATGGGGATTATGATAGGATCCTAACATTAAGGCCCCTGAACGGAGGGAGTTTATTAATCATGGGTCTACATTAGTTCGATCATAACCTTCAACCCAACACCCTCAACCATAGACCCTAAGGGTCCAAGGACCCAACCAATAGGGTTTTAGAGCCCAAATACCGTTAATAGTAAAATATTTGGACCCTAAAGCCCTATCATTTGGGTCCTTGGACTCTTAGGGAGATTGAAGCTCCGCCTTCCAAAGGAACGGTGGAGGTTCGGTTAGGGATCAACGTCCTCGGCGGTCAAGCGCAGGCTTTTCCAACTTTCTAGTACTCGATACTTTAGGCATCTTAAACGTCGCAGAATGCGCGTCAGCTCTACTTTAACTGAGCAGTGACTCCTGTCGTCGCACGAAGCAGGTGAGGTGGATTCTCAAAGGGCATATGGGAGTTTCTCAAGATCAAGCGCCCAATGAACCCTCACTTGCATAGAGCTGATCCCAGGTTCCTTATGAGGTAAAGTTACAAGGAATATTTGAACAACTCCTAACAGTTTGCCTTACCCCTCATAACATCCCTATACTAGAGCAGTTTACATGTTCTTTGCCGTTATCCCCATATAACCCATATATATATATATATCGTCCCCATTTTAATGTAGTAGTTTCCATTTGGCCTTCCAGAATCTGATGTGCCTCTGTGTGGGAGGTCCAAAGCTTCTACCCCAATAGGTCGTGAAGCACGCTGGGGAAATTACACTAATTCATTGTCCTGAAGTGAATTGTGTTTAGAAATATTGCCCATACTGTTGATACAAAGAACCCTGCATGACCTTAATGTACTACTATACCTTAGTTACCAAGGTATACGGTACTAAGGGTCATGCAGGATTTTTAGTATCCACCATAGCAACTACAATTCGAGGCTATCTCTCTCGAGCTCGCTTTAACCTGCCCAGCACAAACATAAATCTGTAATACGTTATGAGCTATAGTCTAAACTCCTAGTATCCCGCTTAAAAAGGGAGAATCACATGGAACAGAAAATGGAAAATGAAATGGAAACTGAGATTAGCTAGGGGGTTATAAGGGTTATAGTCTAAGCTCCTAGTATCCCCCTACATAACTCCCGTAAAAATGCTCCACATAATCCCATATATGACATCCTTTAAGGAGTTTAGGCTACAGCATAAGCAACAAGAATACCCTAAGCCCTAAGCCCTAAATTGAACTCTAAAACCTAAACTCTAAATGCTAGGAGTCCGTCGCGCGATGCACCAGAAGATAAATTTCAGCCGCGGAAGGTGGACAGCCAAGTACTCCAAACAGGAAAGGCCATGACTCACCATTACCTGGTCAGCCCCAAAAACCCTAAACCCTGAAGGGAGTAGGGTTTAGGGCTTAGGGACCTTACCTGCGCCCCAAAAGTATGTAGAACAAGTGCCGTTTTGAGCTGTTTTTAGAGGTTTGGTGTTATTCTTTTACCTACTTGTGGGTTCCAGGTAAACCCTGGACCCTAGACTCTAAACCCCAAACCCGAAGATGTGATAAACCAGCACTTTTTGTTGTTTTTGAACTTGTGTTACCGTACGAGCAGGTGGCCGGCCATTCCAAGATTCAAGGCTTAGTCGTGTAAGTTCCGATGTAACTACCCAACACCCACCGGCTTGGTCAAGGGTTTAGGGTTGAAGGGTTTAGGGTTTAGGGATTTGGCATTAAGGGTTTTAGGGTGTGGGGTTTTAGGCATGTAGGGTTCAGGGTTTTAGGGTTTAGGATTTAGGGGTTTAGGGTGTCTATACAACAAGACCCTCCCAGTACCCTCAACTGGGGTCATAGGGTCCCAAATAGTTAGTTTGGCCCTAATGGAGGGTAGTTGGAGCGTCTGGGTAAATTAGCCTTCATACATGTCAACCCGGAAATACAACCATTTTGGGGCTATTCTTCATTAGGAGCCTTTACAAATTTGTTTCTGGAGTCACAGTAAGTACCTATGTTTGTACTTGGACTCCCACTCTACCATTAATTAAGCTGAACACCCGTCCGGGAAGATATGGATCAGGAATTGGGGCTCAATGCTTGGGACAGTCCGTGCAGTTTGTGGAAGCTTCGGAACTGACAAGATGCAAAATACTCTAGACACTAAATCCTATGCAGGGCTGAAGGTCATGAATGGCAAGGCACATGCAGAGCACGTGAACAGAATCAGAAGATGGAAGCACGAACTTTACAGCAGACGGTTTAGGGTCAGGGTTTGGGCTTGGGGCTTGAGGCTCCGGGTTTAGGGTTCTGGGCTTCGGAAAATGTAGGGTTTAGGGCTTCTTTGCAAACCCCACTGCCTCATTGTGTTCCGCATTCACGTTCCTTACTTGCTCAGTTCTGAAAATCCGAAGAAAGGTAACTGCCCATCTTGAACTTGGACTCAGCCTTTAGGGTGTAGGGTCTAGGATTTAGGGTTTAGGACCTACGGTTATAGTCTAGGGTTTAGGGTGTATAGGGTCTAGGGTTTAGGGTCCAGCGTTTAGGATTTAGTGGCCTAGCATTGAGGGTTTAAGGTCTAGCGTGCCCGCTTGCTCCTAACCCTTTGGCAACCAACATGTCCCGCAGATTTTAATTGAATAATGGCAATACTAATAATTGCAATAATGGCCATTAGAGTATAATAGCAATAATAGTAATGGTACTAATAATAGCAATAAACATGACAATAGTAACAATACGCAATAGTTGTAATATTGAATAAGAATGTAGCCTGATAGGGTTGAATCTCCCAGTTCCTCTCAAATCAACTACACGGTTTAGGGTTTAATTAGGGTACGAGGATTGAGGGGGTTATGGTACCAAGATATAGGGTTTAGGGCACTAGGGTTTAGGGTTCAGGGGTTTCGGGAACAAACATGCAACTCAACCATACGCCCCGTTGAAAAGGACAGTGGTTGGTTGCGGGTGAGAGCTCAAAGAAAAACATGCTGCTCTGCACGGACAAGAGTCTCCCTCACCACGTTGTAGGCCTCTTGCATTCCCTAAACCTAAACCCTAGATCCTGAACCCTAAACCCAACCCTCCTAAGTTTCCCCTTAAGCAGCCTTGACTGAGTCAACATATATACCCGCTTCAGGGGAGGGTAGTATAGAGAGGGGTGGTTAGAGCGGGGTGATTCGCGAATCCGTCATTGTAGCAGCCAGTCCTGCTTGCGGACATCGGGGCTTAGTAAGAGGTAATAACTGGGTTCAGGGTTTAGGTGGGATGCCCCAACTTAAAAGCAGAACGGAATTGCAAGCAAAAATGCCAACTGCATTATTGAACTCTGCAGAGAATGTGGTTTCTCTGTGAAAATTTATCATGGTTAGAGGTCTTAGGGATTCCAAGGGCATTTGGGAATTACATATGGGTTGCTGTGGCCCATTTTAGGGATTGTAGGGGTAATTCGGAGAAGGTCCTATATGCATTCTGTGAGCTGCATCTCGTCATCAACAATGAGCGGTCCATGTACAATTTCACCCTAAACCTTTTCCCTGAAATCCCAGATCGTAAGCCCTACATCCTACATCCTAAATCCCAAGCCTGAAGCCTACATCCTCAACCCTACACACCCGATCCGTAACCCTAGAACCTTAAGTACACCCCCACACCCCTGAAGCCGCCGGCCCAGTACCCACAAGCCTCCAGAGGCAAGTCGAGGAAAAGCTCATCAGATCCCAGCCGGTCCACATAGCGATTTCCAAAGTACCAGTTGGGGACTAAGAAAACCTTCGCCGCGCGTTTTAGGGTTTGGGACCTAGGGTTTGGAAGCTTGAAAACTAAACCTTGAGCCCCTTGGAGTTCGGGGATTGTGGGGCTTCGCCTTTTGGTTGTATAGCGAGGTTTGTAGGTTTTACGACCAAGAGAGCAGTCACAAAATTCAACCCTAAACCCTAGATCCTAAACCCTACATCCTAAACCCTGGATCCTAAAACCTAAACCCTAAACCCTTTAGAGCCTTAGACGTTGGACAACTGAAAGGCTCAGTAGATCTCCGGGACTTCAAATCGGAATTGCAAAAAGGTTACAGGGATTAAGGTTTAGGGTTTATGGGTTTAGGGTTTAGGGGTTTAGGGTTGAAGGTTTAGGGTTTAGGGTTTAGGGTCTAGGGTTGAGGGTTTATACCCGAGACATCCGAATACCCCAAGGTAGATACTGTTCATAGAATTTGCGGCCTGAAGCGGGTAGTATCTACAGACTAGCATTCAAGCGGCTCCATCGACCACTCCTGGAACTCATTTGGGTTTAGGGTTTAAGGAGCTTAAGGCTGAACAATCAAGGGTATGTAGGGTTTAGGGCTTAGGGTTTATTTAGGGTTTAGGGTTTAGGGCTCAAGATTTTGGGGTTAAAGAGCTCAAGGCTAAACAATCAAGAGTTTAGGGCTTTGGGCTCAAGAGCCAAGACCGCAGGGTCTAGGGTTGAGCCTATCAACTACAAAGCCCCTGGGATAGTTGCCCGGAAAACACAAGGTTTTCGTCCCCCTAAAGTAGAGAGACTATGGGGTATATGGGGATCTTATTGCAATATACCCAAAGCCATGCTCTATCTACTTAAGGGGGACTATATCCTGAAGGAAAACCAATGCTACCTGCAAACCCTCAATTTAGCCCCTCTTCCCCTGAGTAGACACAGGACTCCTTTGCTCTCCTAGTATCCCCATTTTGTAATCGCCTAGACAACCCCTTTCATAAAGAGGCTTATTCGAGGAGTTTAGACTGTAACTGTATGTTCCCAGAAGTATAACGGACCCTGAACATGAGCCTGCCAATTTCCTTGTCCCCAAACAATCAGTTCATAATGTAGGTTGCTGTGAAGGATCTTAAGTTAAGTTACTCTAGTGAGGAAACCTTAAAACTACTAGCTGCTATAGACCCAAAATTTGGCAATTCAATTTCAGCTCAACAGCAGCCAAGTAACAAGGGCAACCCACATCCCCCTCATAAGTCCTACGTACCCCTTGGGCTCCTGAGTTTTCAAAGCCCTAGAAAATTGAACCCCTAAACCCCAAACCCTAAATCCCGTAACTCTACACCCTTTATCCCAAACCATAGACCGTAAACCCAAATCCCAAAACCCTAAACGCAAAACCCGAAAAAACACACCCGCGTGGACTTCTTGAGACGTCAGGTCGAGAAGCCGTGTGGTTATAGGCGCTGTGCGCCTCCTGAGAGTTTAGAATTTAGGCTTTAAGGATTAGGGTGTAGGGTTGTTAGGATTTGGGCTTGTAGGACTCGGGCCCACACCCAAACCACAAAAACCTAAACCACATACTTAGGGTTCAGGGATTGAGGTGTTGGGTTTGCGGTCTTTACAAGCGTCTACCCTCCCACAAACCAACCAGGAATCGCACAGAAAAAAAAACTGACCTAGTTAAGATGTAGCCTATATGAGGCCCCATGTTACTTGGGGGAACGTCCAGAATTTAAGCCCCAAATCCTAAACCCTTTGGGTTGGGCATTTCTCCGGTAAGGACCCCTAAAGAGGTAGCAAGTTCAGATCCAAACCCTAAGAGTTTGGGTTGAAGGTACGATGATGGTGTAATCCCTGTGCTGTACATGCCTGCCTTCAAGGGGCATGAGGTCGCTATTCAAAGTCTGAAACACAACCCCTATGCAAGACAAATGGGTCTGAGCCTAAATTACTGCTCCCGAAAGCCCCCAAAATACTCTCCTAAATAATCCCCTAGATAACCACCTTCAAAGATTTTAGACCACCCTTTAAGCTCTAAGTATATACCATATACCTACATGGACCCTTTGGAAGGGCTCCTGTAGGTCCTTTCGGAAAAATGTAGAGAAATAATTTTCCATTTGATGGGCATCTTGGGAGCAGCAATTTGGGCCAACTGCCGTGTAGTAAGTATATGGGTTCCTCACAATGGTTATATCGCCGTCAAAAAGGTGTATATTGGGATTATATAGGGCTATATAGGGGTTAGATGGCAAAACAATAACAACTAAAACCCTAAACACCCTAGCCCCAAACCCCAAGCCCGTGTGGTGTCAGAGGTTTAGGGGTTTGAAGACGTATGGGCATCTTTTTGGAGCCTTGCGGTATGTGGAGGCCCCGTACGAATTTGACATCCCTAAACCCTAAACCCTAAAGGTTAGGGTTTAGGTTTTGGGGGCTTGATGTTGAGGAGCGTGGGGTCTGAAGGTTCCGTATCTGAAGCCTCAACCCTCTAAACCCTAAACCCTAGATGGGAAGTGTGGAGGTTTCATGGTTTTAGTAACACGGCCTCCAGACTAGCTTCAAAGACTTTTCACTTATAACAAGGGATTCCTTCCTGCATGTGAGCTATGATTAGTCTGAATTCTCAAAAGGGAGTATTTCATTTAGGGGATTATATTATAGGGAATTAAATAAGGAGGTCTTACAGGGGTTACTAAGCCGCATGTTAGGAGTTCAGGCTATAGCTCACATAAGAAGGAAGACTAGCCCAGATTACTTTCGGTTAGAGTTTGATTTTGCTGGGTTAGGGTACTGGGGTCCATTGTACTGTTCAGTGTCTGAAGGTTTGTTTTTGTTTGCGAGTGTGGAGCTTTTCACTTGGGCATTGGTCTACACCCTAAACCTCAAACCCTAAACCCTGAACCCTAAATCAGATTTGGGTTCAGGTGTAAAATCCGTAAAAATGTGGATCCTCATATCCTGAAGCTCTCATAAACCTACTTTAAAGCCGAGAAAATGCCATATAGCTACGTGGGCCCTTTGGGCCTATACATGATTTGCCCAAAGCACCTCTAGATCAGACGCCACATCCATACTACGGTAGCCTGTTCCAGGTTCCTGGACAGCAGCCACGCAAACCCTAACCCCTACGCCCTAAACCCTGAACCCAGCAAACCAAAAACCCTACCCCCTGAACCCCGAACCCAGCAAACCCTAAACCCTACACCCTAAGCCCTAAACCTTACACCCCAAGCCCTAAACCCTCAAACCCCACACCGTAAGCCCCACACCCTAAACCCAGCAAATCTGCGGGGAGCCTCTAGGATCTGCAGCGTGGAGGAATGGAAGATTGGAAGAGCCTCTAAAGCCATGCTGTCCACTCCTGAGGCGACGAAGGATATAGTGGAATGTGGAGTATTGGGTTTAGGGCTTAGGGCTCAGGGTTTAGGATTCATGGTTTAGGGTTCAGGGCTTAGGATTTAGGGAGCCGCTTTAGTAGTGGGGGGCCGCCTCAGGGCCGCCTCCCCCAAACAATCAGAGTCGACCTAAACCCTAAGCCCCAAACACTATAGTCCCCCTTAAGTACATAGAACCTGGGGTATATGGGGATCTTATTATAACATGCCCAAAGCCATATTCTATACTTAAGGGGGACTATAACCCTAAACCGCGTTTAAACGGAAGCCCTAAACGATTTCGGGGGTTGCAGGGTCCGCTGGAAGTAAATGCTAGTACTAGGACCTCTCGAGTCCTAGAAACCTGAACCTACTCCTCCTCTGAATAACACACCAAAAATCGAAGCTTCAGTTGTCAATTGTTCGTATTTTACTCCGAAAACTTAACATTAAACAAGGTCTCCTAAACAATCGGGGGGTCATGAAGGAGCCCAACAACTTGGCACCAAAGACTGTACACATGCAACAGCGGGTCCCGATTACAGGGTCAGGCCACAACCTTTAGGGTGTAGGGGTTAGTTGCATGTACCTGGCCTCAGAAGTTGGTAAATACTAGCCCCAAATGCTCAAACATTGTCAAGATGGCCGGTATTCTAAGTACTCATTTGGGGGTAGCTGCAATTAATGGCACTTAGACAGTCATACTTATTCCCAGTATATCCACCTATAGTCCAAGTTATAACTGACAGGCGGGTTTGAAACCGCGTGGAGCAAGGTTTGGAGTTAAAGATTAGTGGCTGTAAACCCTGCACCTCAACAAAACAGGGTTTGGGGTTTAGGGTTCAGGGTTTGGGGTCAATATGCCGATCACCTAGCATTGTAGGGTGGGGTGCCAAACGCAATAAACCCAAAACACAATTGCAAAGCAATCCTGACATGGCTAGCAGTGCAGCCGAAGGTTGGCTGTTCCCCTAAACCCTAAACCCCCAAACCCCCCCAAACCCCCCCAAACCCCACGAAACCCCCCAACCCCCCTAGTTGCCACGCATGACTAGACTTTGCAAGTTGTCCCTAGACTTCCTCAATAGGCAAGGAAAAACCTCACCTCGGAAACTTGCACATAACTAGTGAACAAAGTCAATTAAGCCCCTTAACCGCTACGTCTCTAAAGCTCGCCACAAAATGGTGCTTGTTGGGAAAACACATTGGCTGTTTTGCTCTGCTCGGCTTCTGAACCCTAAGCCTTATCAAGGGTTCCTGCGGTGTACCCCGGAGGTTGCCGATATAGCCCCTATGAGCCAATGTAGTCCCCTAAAGTCCCGTAAAAGCATCGCAAGCCTGAAGCCCTTGACCCTAAGCCCCAGACCCTAAACCCTAAGCCTTAAACCCGAACCCCTAAACCCTAAACCCTAAACCATTAACCCTAAGCCCTAAGCCCTAAGCGCCTACACCCTAAACCCCAAATACAAAACCCTCATCCCTAAACTCTAAACTCTGAGCCCTAAACCCTCCCTAGACACTCAGCCCCTAAGCCCCAAAATGCAAAACCCTCAGCCCTAAACCCTAAACTCTAAGCCCTAAACCCTCAAGCCTAAACCCCATGTCCGGTAACACTCTCGGGCTCCTTGCACTTGGCGGATGTGCGGCCCCAGCACTTTACTCTCCTGCTTGCTGGTTGTTCGCTGGGAATGGAAAAGTGCTGTACTCTAAGGGAGTTGGAACCCCAGTAGAAATTATAATTTCAGCTAAATATTAGGATTCTAGGTGACAGAAATTAAAAAACATGTTCAGGAACCTTGTGGTTTAAGGTTTAAGGAATTAGGGTTTAGGTTTGGGATTATGGTTTAAGGTTGAAGGAGTAAGGTGTAGGATTCATTAAGGGATGACGGTCCAGGTCTTAGACATAAGGATGAAGCATTTAGGGTATAGATTATGGCAGGAAAGCCAAAATCACATAGAGAAGCGGAAGCTGAAGTGGAAAGTCTAGCTTACGTTTAAGGTTTATGTCTTACGGGTTGTTAGGAGGGCATGAAGGAATGGAGAGCAGGAAATAGAGGCTGCTGTTTAGGGTTTAGGGTTTAAGAATGGATATATAACAAGTGGAGACTTCCATGTATGGCTCAGGGTTTAGGATTGGAAAAAGGCATGGAGACTATTTATGCTTGGACTTGAGGGACAAGAGCAACGGAATGGAAAAGAGAACGGAAAGTACAGCTCTGTCGGAAATCATCATGCATTCCCTCATTCCCCACTGACAACCGGTAAGCCTGGTGGACACAAGAAATTGACAGCTCTTTGGGGTTTAGGGCTTACATGAACCCCTTCCAAGAATGTAACAGTATGGCTAAAGACCTGCAACACTGTACCAACAGCCAACAAGATGATTACCCTACTCAGCACACCCTTCACTCTGCAAGGAAGACCGCTGAAGTTATTGATCCCCTGCTAAAGATATTAGAAGCCCCATATCTTAAGCATCCATTATGGCATGTAATAATGTGTTGGAAATGCTAGATGTTAGGGGGCCTCAATACTAGGAGGAGGTGATCCGCATTTTGTCTATCATGGCCCAGCGGCAAGTTTGGCTTCTGATAGGTGTCGGGGCAGGAAATGCGACGGTCCAAGTAGAAATGCCTCAGCTGCATACTGAGCTCGGCTCTGCTTCGCACTTTAAAAACCCACAACCCAAACCCCAAATATTCCAACATATATATATATATATGTTTATACGTGTATATATGTATGTATATACACACATATATACATGTATATATACATATATATATATACAACCCTAGGTATCCCTCTATAACCCTCTATATCCACGGTTTCAGAGTTGTACTCATAAGGTTGTAATTCTGCTTTCGGGGTTCCTTTCAAGGAACTCCCCAGGGGATGAGATTGGTTAATCAACGGGTTGCAATGTGAGTTTCGGGTTAAAGAGGTCGCATCTGGACCGTGTACCTGGGAGACCCTTTACGGGTACGACCTTAGGCGTACAACGTGGGAACCTTGGCTAGGGTTTATAGGGGTTTAGGGTTTAGGCAGAATTTGTTTATACACTGCGGTCAGGGTTTAGGGTTCGGGCTTTCGGGCTTCAGATTCTGGATTTCAGATTCTGGATTTGAGGTCATGGTTGAAGATGAAGGAAAGATGCACAGATATCAGATAGGGCTAGACTTAGAGGTTTAGTGTGTAGGTTAGGGACCCAGAAGCAGAAGGCAAGTGCCAATCCAAAAAACCTTAGCCCTGAACCCTAGAATAACCAAAAGCTTCATCCCCGGAATCCTAAGGCCCTTGACCCCAAACCCTGAACTCCACAATCCTAAGCCCTACGTTAACCAAAAAATCATGGTTCCCCTGCTACCCCCCTCTATACAAGCCCCCCTAGCTTCCACCCTCAATCAAGGTTATTGAAGGATACTTAGGCTTGATTAAGGTTAATTGAGGGGGAACCTGGGTAGTAGGGTAACCCATCGTAAAGCCTAGACCCCAAACCCTTAAAACCCTAAACCCTAAACCCCCACAGTAAGTGCGACCAAAAGCTGCCGATGCGGAATCCCCTTCAAATCCAGACTTCCTCATTAACCACTAAACAAACCCCAGGGTTTAGGGTTTAGGGTTTAGGGCTAGATCCCCCATAGATTCGTCATGTGACCCTTAGAGAATCCTGGTAAAAGCCTTCAAAAGTCTTCACTTAACCCTTAGATGGTCAAAGTTAACCTAAACCCCAAACCCTGAAGCCCTAAACCCTGAAACCTTAAACCTAAGCCCCTAAACCCTCATCCCTAAACCCCAAACCCTAAACCCGTAAGACCTATAAACCCTAAACCCCAAACCCTTAAACCCTAAAGCTGCCAGAGGTACGGATCCGCGCTGGCAAGGCGAGGGAAAGCCAAGCTCTTCAGGCTTCCAAGGGGCCGGCAAGGCACCTCGAGTTGCTTAGCTGTGTAGGCTTTGAGAGCTGAGTTTAGGGTTTAGGGCTTAGGGTTTCGGGTTAAGGGTTCATTACCATTACTTAGGGCTTAGGGTGTCAGTTCGGGCGGAATTCCAAACATCTCGAATCAAGGAAGTTTGGGAACCCAAAGTACTGGTAAGTTGTCTATGGGCTTGCGGGTTTAGGGATTAGGGTCTTGGGTTGAAAGTTTAGGGGTTTTGGTCTGGCAGGGTCTCAGTGAGCCCCACGCTGAGGGGGTTGTAGTGGACGCTGATACCCCGCAACAAGGAGGGCCGCCTACACGCACTCCAAAACACTACGATTCCCATGCACAAGGATTGACCAAAAGTAGCACATTCGGTCTAGGCTCCACTATCAACATCCCCTGAAGTTTTACCCGTATTCGGTTCCAAATTCCAGGAAATCTTACATGAGCTCGTGAAGGGTAGGTGCAGCTGAGTCATATGTGTAAGCTTTGTACCGTTATGCGCCCCGACATACCACTGGGCACTCTACTGACCAAACCCTAAACCCTAAACACTAAATGGGGATTGCTGGGTGGCATGTGGTGCCAAGTGTCTGCAAAGGCCAAGGGGACACTAGGTGTGGACTCGCAAAATCTTAAGCAAGGTGCTGAAGGCGAGGTGGGAAATGCCAAGCCCCACGGCGATGAAACCTTTGCTGCAGCAGGTCCAAAAATTTGGTACCTGGACCCAGAAAATAGGTACTATGGTAACATGATGGCGAAAAAAACTAACAACCGCCAAGAAGGCCATTATTCGACAAATTTTTGGGAAAGCCTGATTCGGGCTTCCAGCTGTGGAGTTGTGTTAACTGTGTTTTGACCAAGAACTACTGCAGACAGAAAAGTTCCTGACATAAAGTTGCAAGACACGTAAGAAACATAGATGAAGGATAGTGACCTATGGTTTTCATGTGTGGTCTCTTCCCAACTGGACACTCAAGATGTACCCTGACCAATATTCCTAAGGAACCCTATAGACTTACCCTAAACCATTAAAAAGGACTGACTTGAAACCTAAACCCTAAAACCTAACAAACAACACTGCTTGAAGTGAAGAAGCAAAGGTGCTTCTTCTGAACGCTCATGCATCAACTCCGAGAACTAGTCCTCACATGGGAGTGGTTCTAAATGTAGGGTTTAGGGTGTAAGTTTTGGGGTTTTTCAGGGAAGCCACTACAAAATACACTTCCTCAAAGAGGTTCCCCCCCAAAAAGGGGAACCCATCCCTAATACACTAAGCCCTAAACCCTATTACTGAACAATGTTCGAGGCTCTTTCGACGGCACTGCGGCCCATGAAGAGCAAATCCCGCAAATGCCCTGAGCCCATTCCACTGGCTCTCCTGCTCAACGCCTTCTTATACGGGTTTAGGGTGTTGGGTTTAGCGATGCTACCCTGGAAGCCCAACTACCTCTAGCCTGGGGGCCAAGTATTCAGTAAATTGGTACGTGGAGTTTGGGTTGTAGTACTTGTAGAATAGGTTTGGGAAGCAAAAGACTATACCCTGAATCCTAGGTAGCATCATAGGTCTCTGCAGCAGCCCATGATAGGAAGAGGTTTCAACATTACTAGTGCAGTCCTCTAAATCCTGAATCCTAAACCCTTAACCCCTAAACCCTTAACCCAAACCCTTCACCCTATGCAAATCCTAAACCCTTTTTCTTGGGGGGTAGCCCTTAAGCCAGCACAGCCCTCAGCATGGGAACTTGCTTGCAGTTAGTGCACCTACTCGAGCCTCAAGAGCCGCACGGTTCGTAAAACGCAGAAAACAAAATACCAAAAACAACATATGGGTGGTTGTCAAAATTATGGTCCCTTTTGGGGTCCCATAAATATTAGGTGTCGTATTATAATAGGGATCCAAAAAGGGACCACAATTTTGACAACCACCCAGATGAGCTTTAAGAAGCACTGGAATACCTAGTCTAAAGAAGCACTCTAATACGCCCCCGTATATAGTCCCCTATATAAACCCCCTTTAAGGATTTTAGGCTGTAGCTCATGTGGCACCATCCCTTAAAAGGTACTTGGATCCTTGATAGGCTTTAAGCAATATTCCTTCGTGAAGGGGTATTGGGCTTCCGGGGTAGGGCCAATGGCCTGACTCTTTTGGGGACCCTGCAAAATGCTACCCCTAATTCTTGCGGTTTAGGGCTTAGGGCTTAGGGTTCTCAAGCCCCCCATTCAGGGTCTAGCAAGTTTCGGGAAGTTGGGGTTTACGCAGTTGATAAGGATCCTGATGCAATTAAAGGTATATTCCTGGACTAGGCCATATTGGGCTCTCCACGTGAAGGAGTGGGCAGGGGTTTCTTGGCCCTGGACGAAACGTTTTGGCCTTTGCAGCTGCACTCCCAACTGCAAATCTATAGAGTTTAAAGTGGAAATGCTGCCTTGCCTTTTTTCCTAGCTTTTTTTCTTGAAGCACCCAAGTATTCAATAATTGTGGTACCTGGGATTTTGGAACTAGTAGTAATTGTAGTGCCCACTTCGGAAGGGCATCTGAATATCGAGTACTTGGACCATTTGCATAATCGCTGCCTTGTCCGGTTTCCTGCCTTTTGGTTGACAGAGTTTCAATGGCATGTTCGCATGGAATCATAGTTCTTGCATGTCCTGCTGTAATGATTTTGGAACCTTACTTTGAAGTGTGCCGGCCCCTACTTTCCATGCATCAGTGAGGTCGAAGGGGGTCGGTATCAGTTGCCCAGAAGTTATGCTAATGCCTACAAGACTAATGCCCACAAGATTTCGCGGGTCTGTGCCTAGCGCAAATTCCTAAAAACAAGGCCTTTTCTTGGAAAGCTCTCCTATATGATCAAGTTGCCTGCGGGTACGTCTAAACCCTAAACCTTACCTATCCTAGCCTGCCCAGGCTCCGGGGCCTGTGATTTTCACATAAATGTGTGAGTGCACTTAGGGTTTCGGATTCGGGCTTTAGGGGCTCGGGTTTAGGATTTGGGGCTCACAGGGTTTAGGGGAACAATGGCGACAATTGCAACTTTAGCCGCCTACTGGGCTTCGACTCTACAAGCCAAACATGAAAACCGACGTGAAGTTGGGTTCCATACCCATATCCCTGAATTCAAAATCTACAAGCCCACTTCCCGAAGACTAGATCCAAACACCAAGTCCAAGGCCCTAGATCCTAAAACCTCAGCCTCAACCCTTAACCATAGAAACCCCTGAACCCTAAACCCTAAACCCTTAAAACTAAACCCCAAATCCTGACCCTGAACCCTAGACATCCCTAAGCTCTAAACCCTAAACCGTAAACCCTGACCCTAAACCCTAAACTCTAAACCCTATGGTCCCCCTTAAGTAGATAGAATATGGCTTTGGGTATATTAGAATAAGATCCCCATATACCCCATATTCTATCTACTTAAGGGGACTATCAGCCCTGATTTGGGGGCAGGGCTGTCTGCTGCTCCCTCCGCGAGAGGGGGCGCACGACCAGCCATCTGAAAAGCAAGGTGAACCTGGGGCATTTCTGATTCGTCCATAGGATTCAGTTAGTATTTAAGAATTAGGGTTAGATAAGGGTTTGGGATTTAGGGGTCAGGGTTAAAATTTTGGGGATTAGGATTCCGGCTTAGGGATGAGGAGGCAGGGTTTAGGGACTAGGGCCTACGCGTTAGGATTCAAGGATTGGGGCTTAGTGTCAACAATAAGTGGGAGTTGCCAATGGAGACAGTTTATATTATAGGTACATCGAGGATCTATATATATATATATATACATGTAGAGACCATGGGGACTTCTCTGATGACCCAATCAAGCTCAAGCTTAGGTGAGGTCCCTACTTATACGAAAACTTGCCTCCTCTAGCTGCCTTGGAAAGAAGGAAAGGACACTGTGAATCTAGCGGCCCTACACCCTAGATCCCAAAACCGCGCTTGGGATCTAGGAATAAAAGCAATGGGTTTCTCACCTCCCCTGTCCCGCTTGTATACAGCCCTCACAGGCAGCCTGCGCAGAGCATGCACGGACTCATCCGAGGATCAGGGCTTCTAAACTTGGGGGGAATAGTCTGGGAACCCCCATGGGGGAACCCCAAGAATGTAGCAGCAATATATTCAAAAAAATAGAAGGACGATGGCAGGGATATTTCTATTATATGCCTGGGGTTCCTTGTTTTGGGGAGTTCACATTCCAGTCCCTCTATGAAAATTCTGCACCCTTTTCTCAAAAACGCCACAGAAAACCACTAGCTCCCCAAACCCTAAATAGGGAAGCCCCAAAATGCAGAGAACGGAGCATATCAAGCCGACTGCTCGCTGGAAAATATGAGCCATGACTTAAACTCCTTAAAGGGGGTTAAAAAGGGATTGGGGTTTAGAGTTTGGTTCCGTTTAGGGTTTAGAGTTTAAGGTTTCGTATTCAGGGTTTAGGGTTAAGGGTTTAGGGTCCCAACCTCCTTATTTGGGGCTATATAGGGGACATTTATAGGGTTGTTAAGGGGGATACTAGGAGTTTAGTATAGATCATATCAATGCGGAGAACTTACAATGGAAACGCTACTAGCGCTGGAAAAGACTAGTAGTGATAGTAAAAGCAATATTTGTAGTACTAAAGATTGATCATGATGATGTAAAAAACCACCTAGGGCTCCAAATAGCCTAACATCGGTCATACCTATAGACTTCAGGACCCAACGCATGGAAGAATGATAGACTTGGCGCCTCAGGGTGATAACTTGGACAGGAGTTACAGCTAAACCCTAAACCCCAAACCCTAAACCCCAAACCCTAAACCCCTAAACCCTAAAGCACTAAACCCTAAGCCCTAAACCCTAAACCCCCAAAGCCCTAAACCCTAAACCCTAAACCCTAAAACCCTAAACCCTAAAGCTCTAAGCCCTCATTCGGGTTGCGGGTTTTCTTCAGGTGGCTCAAACTGACGCGGCTTCCCTGCAAATCCGAAAATCGACAAGACAGCGGCCCCAAACTGCATCTTAAGGCTTTAGGGGG